TCCATTTCAGTATCAGATGTGCTGTATATCACATAGCAAGAGCGCCTGCCAAAATGCAGCAACTCCTGTGTAAAATGACACTGACATTGAGTAATACAATGTAACAATGTATTTATTGTTATATTGTATTTACTATTTCATTCATATACAGATCAAGGTTGTGACATTTCATCTGCATATGTCATTAAATAAAAAAAACCTTGCACGTGAAAAAAAAGAAAACATGTTCCCATTAACCACTATTAACACTTAGCTAACCCTATTATTAATAACCCTAATATTTCAACTTTTTGCTTTCACGTCCATAAAGGTTATACATGTATGAGAGCTGAACCGGTTAAATATTCACAACCCAGGCTAAACTTTGGATTTCTTAACTGATAGCACCATCTTTCACATAAATAACTGCCTCTAAACAGGCCTGAGGAAGAGAAAAATAGACAGTAATAATGCTATGGGCTCTGGCTGTGTGACAGAACAGACACAATGGAGGCTGGAGGAAATGCCAAAAGCAATAGACACATCTGGTAGATGTCATCCTAATATTAAAATGTTATGGAATAAAATCCAGACCCCCAAATGTTTGAAAATGTCAGGAAATCTTTCACTAATGTTTGATACAGGCATTGCATTGTATGTTTCTTCTGTATGTTCCTGTTACAAGCCATTGTACTGCTGTAAACCTTCAATAAAAATGTATTGAACCAGAAAATCTGGGGAAATCTTTAACTTGCACATATAATATTTTGCAGCTTTTGCTGTCAATTATGTTTATTCTGTCTCAAACAGGTGGTGCAACAGGAACATGCACAGCAATACAAAGCTGACAGATTCTAGCTTTCTCCTCCTAAACCAAAAAAAAAACACAAGAAAGTAAAGGCAAAAAAATATTTCTGTTGTTTGAGATTTTCCTTCTTTCCCTAACTGTTGTCAGTATGACAGTAAGAGGTGTATTCATCAAAAAAAAAATGCAGAGCTCTTTGTCCTGTGAAACTGACTGCACATTCATTCTGTGTAAATGGGGCAAAATCAATAGATACAGTGCCTTGAAAAAGTATTCATACCCCTTGAAATTTTCAACATCTTGTCATGTTACAACCAAAAATGTAAATATATTTTATTGGGATTTTATGTGATAGCCCAGCACAAAGTGACACATAATTGTGAAGTGGAAGGAAAATGATAAATGGTTTTCAAAATTGTTTAAGGTGATTGTAGCCGTATTAGTGCATTTGCGACAGAAACAATTGAGTACTGTCCGTGATACTTTTTTTATTTGCACTAACATACAATTTTGAGGACAAGCTTTCGGGGTATATCCCCTTCTTCAAAGTCCAAGCTTGGACTTTGAAGAAGGGGACATACCCCGAAAGCTTGTCCTCAAAATTGTATGTTAGTGCAAATAAAAAAAGTATCACGGACAGTACTCAATTGTTTCTTCAAAATTGTTTACAAATTAATATCTGAAAAGTGTGGCGTGTATTTGTATTCAGCCCCCCTTTACTCTGATATCCCTAACTAAAATCTAGTGGAACCAATTGCCTTCAGAAGTCACCTAATTAGTAAATAGAGTCCACCTGTGTGTAATGTGATCTCAGTATAAATACAGCTGTTCTGTGAAGCCCTCATAGGTTTATTAGAGAACATTAGTGAACAAACAGCATCATGAAGGCCAAGGAACACACAAGACAGATCATGGATAAAGTTGTGAAGAAGTGTAAATCAGGGTTAGGTTATAAAAAGAATCTCAAGCTTTGAACATCTCATGGAGCACTGTTCAATCCATCATCCAAAAATGGAAAGAGTATGGAACTGCAAACCTACCAAGACATGGCCGTCCACCTGAACTGACAGGCCGGGCAAGGAGAGCATTAATCAGAGAAGCAGCCAAGAGGACCATAGTAACTCTAGAGGAGCTGCAGAGATCCACAGCTCAGGTGAGAGAATCTGTCTACAAGACAACTATTAGTCGTGCACTCCACAAATCTGGCCTTTATGGAAGAGTGGCAAGAAGAGAGCCATTGTTGAAAGAAAGCCACAAGATGTCCTGTTTGCAGTTTGCGAGCAGCCATAATGTCAGGGCTCCAGGGTATGACCAGAGGTATGTGAACTGACGCAGGGAAACACAGGCTTCAGATAGTTATAAACAATATAATTTATCAAAGACTAACAATATAAACATAAACGCAGTGCAATACTAAAACATAACACAGTGCAAACGAACCAAACCAAACCACCCACAGATAACAGTACATACAATGCAAGCGTCGTCAGGCAGGCCGGGTCAATAACAATTGGGCAGGTAGGTACAGGGGGTCAGGCAGAGAATGGTCGGGGTCACAAGCCAGGGATAAAACAGGAGAAGTCAGCAGAGGTCCGGATCAGGCAGGGTCAGCAACGAATCAGATAGAGACAGGAACAGGAACAGGATACAGGGCCCGGAAAAACACACACCAAGGCAGAGACTGCAGGTCTGGCCATCCCTTAAATACACCTGCATAATCAACTTCAGGTGTTTGGCTGGCTGCAGGGTTGAGTCTCTGATTGCTGGGAGCACCCGCTGGCCAGCCCTGGTACTGCAGCCCACAAGGCAGGTGAGTCCCACCATTACTGGCAAGGCCATTCCTGACAGTACCCCCCCCCCTCAAGGAGCGGCCTCAGGATGCTCCAAACAGTCCTAGCTGGGCAAAATGTTCCACCACCCGGGTCTGGTAACTGGCGGGATATCAAAGACTGGCACATCGGGCAGGACCCTGGGCAGCGGCACCCGGGCAGGCCGGGCAGCGGCACACCGGGCAGGACTCCGGGCAGCGGCACATCGGGCAGGACTCCGGGCAGCGGCACACTGGGCAGCGGCACACCGGGCAGGACTCCGGGCAGGACTCCGGGCAGAGGCACATCGAGCAGGACTCCGGGTGGCGGCACATCGGGCAGGACTCCGGGCAGAGGCACATCGAGCTGGACTCCGGGCAGCGGCACACCGTGCAGGACTCTGGGCAGTGGCACACCGGGCAGGACTCCGGGCAGCGGCACATCGGGCAGAGGCACATCGAGCTGGACTCCGGGCAGAGGCACATCGGGCTGGACTCCGGGCAGAGGCACACCGGGCTGGACTCCGGGCAGAGGCACATCAGGCTGGACTCCGGGCAGAGGCACATCGGGCTGGACTCCGGGCAGAGGCACATCGGGCTGGACTCCGGGCAGAGGCACATCGGGCAGGACTTCGGGCAGCGGCACATCGGGCAGGACTCCGGGCAGGACTCCGGGCAGAGGCACATCGAGCTGGACTCTGGGCAGAGGCACATCGAGCTGGACACCGGATCACCAGGCGGAGCAGCAGGCACCGGGCCACCAGGCGGAGCGGCAGGCACCGGGCCACCAGGCGGAGCGGCAGGCACCGGGCCCCCAGGCGGAGCGGCGGGCACCGGGCCCCCAGGAGGGGCGACAGGCATTGGGCCCCCAGGCGGAGCGACAGGCATCGGGCCCCCAGGTGGAGCGACGGGCATTGGGCCCCCAGGCAGGGCGATAGGCATCGGGCCCCCAGGCGGGGCGACAGGCATCAGGCCCCCAGGCAGGGGGCAGGCGCCGGGCCCCCAGGTGGAGCGGCGGGCGCTGGGCCCCCAGGCGGGGTGGCAGGTGCCAGGCCCCCAGGCGGAGCGGCGGGCGCCGGGCCCCCAGGCGGAGCGACAGGCATCGGGCCCCCAGGCGGCGCGACAGGCATCGGGCCCCCCCCAGGCGGAGCGGGGGGCACCGGGTCATCAGGCACGACAACGGGCATCGGGTCACCAGGCATCAGGTCATTTGGCTCGCCAGCGGGCACCGCGTCATCTGGCAAGGCAGTGGGCACCGAGTCACCAGGCATGACAGTGGGTTCCGAGTCAACTGGCATGACCACGGGCACTGGGTCAGACATTGGATCATCTGGCTCGACAGCGGGCATCGGGTCACCAGGCACCAGGCATCAGGTCATTTGGCTCGACAGCGGGCACTGCGTCATCTGGCAAGGCAGTGGGCACCGAGTCACCAGGCACGACAGTGTCAGGAATGGACTAGCCAGCAATGGTGGGACTCACCTGCCTTTTGATCTGCAGTACCAGGGCTGGCCAGCGGGTGCTCCCAGCAATCAGAGACTCAACTTTGCAGCCAGCTAACACCTGGAACTGATTATGCTGGGGTATTTAAGGGATGGCCAGACTTGCAGACTCTGCCTTGGTGTTGTGTTCTCTTGGGCCCTGTATCCTGTTCCTGCTCTCTGTTCCTGTCTGATTCTCTGCTGACCCTGCTCTGATCCCTGGCTTGTCTGACCATCCCTCTGCCTGACCCTCTGTACTACGCTGCTTGCTACCTGTTCTGATCCCTGGCTTGTGACCCTGACCATCCCTCCGCCTTACCCTCTGTACTACGCTGCTTGCTACCTGCTGAACCTGGCCTGTGACCCCGACCCATCTCCGCTTGCTTGCTCCCCCTGTACCTACCTGCCCTATTGATATTGACCCGGCCTGCCTGACGACGCTTGCTTGTATGTACTGTTATCTGTGGGTGGTTGGTTTGGTTTGGTTTGGTTGCACTGTATTATGTTTTAGTATTGCACTGCGTTTATGTTTGTATTGTTAGTGTTAATAAATTATATTGTTTATAACATATCTGAGGTCTGCGTTTCCCTGCGTCAGCCACACACCTCTGGTCACACCTGGGAGCCCTGACAGACAGTGGGCTCTGAGTCAATTGGCACGACAGCGGGCACCGGGTCATCAGGTACCGGATCGTCAGGATCGACAGCGGGCACCGGGTCATCTGGCGTTGGATCGTCTGGCTCGACAGCGGGCATCGGGTCACCAGGCATGACAGCGGGCACTGGGTCACCAGGCATCAGGTCATTTGGATCGCCAGCGGGCACCGCGTCATCTAGCAAGGCAGTGGGCACCGAGTCACCAGGCACGACAGTGGGCTCCGAGTCAACTGGCATGACCGCGGGCACTGGGTCAGACATTGGATCGTCTGGCCCGACAGCGGGCATCGGGTCACCAGGCATGACAGCGGGCACTGGGTCACCAGGCATGGGATTGTCTGGCTCGACAGCGGGCATCGGGTCACCAGGTATGACAGCGGGCACTGGGTCACCAGGCTACAGGTCATCTGGCTCGCCAGCGGGCACCGCGTCATCTGGCAAGGCAGTGGGCACCGAGTCACCAGGCACGACAGTGGGCTCCGAGTCAACTGGCATGACCGCGGGCACTGGATCAGACATTGGATCGTCTGGCCCGACAGCGGGCATCGGGTCACCAGGCATGACAGCGGGCACTGGGTCATCAGGCATTGGATCGTCTGGCTCGACAGCGGGCATCGGGTCACCAGGCATGGGTCATCAGGCATTGGATCGTCTGGATCGACAGCGGGCATCGAGTCAACTGGCCTAATGGAATCATCAGGCTGGATCAGTTCATCAGGCTGGGTAGAAACATCATGCTGGGTAGAGGCATCAGGCTGAATGGAGGCATCAGGCTGAATGGAGGCATCAGGCTGAGTGGAGGCATCAGGCTGAATGGAGGCATCAGGCTGGGTAGAGGCATCAGGCTGGGTAGAGGCATCAGGCTGGGTGGAGGCATCAGGCTGGGTGGAGGCATCAGGCTGGGTAGAGGCATCAGGCTGGGTAGAGGCATCAGGCTGAATTGTGGGCGCCGAGGCACCAGGCTGCACGGAAGGCAGGTTCTCAGATGGGAGGCTGACCGGTTTGGATACTGGCAGGATGGTATTGGTTGGAAAGAACTTTCGCCTTTTCCTGGTTTTAGTTACCGGAGCACCGTAAGTAAGCGCAGGTTTGTAAACGGATGGAGCAGCTGGAGACAGAGAAGAGCTGGAGGATGGAACAGGGAAGGGAACAGTTGCTACAGAGGGCTTCTTTACAGGGTTAAAGGCAGGATAGGTGCAGCGAGTGGGAACAGGGTACTGACATGCGGTAGATAGCAGGGTATACTGGGCTGTAACTGGAGGTGCTGTTGGGAATGCAGGAATAAAGCTTTGAAGAAATAGATTAGAAGCAGGGCTGGGTTTTTGCAAGCTGACTGAGGCTGGGTGCAACAAGTCTGACCATGTCTGCAGTATGGGTTGAACAAAGCTCAGCTTACACAAAGCCTGTCTGACCAAAGACTGCACTGCGTTTATACAATCTCTTAGTACCTGTTGTGAACATGCAGAATGACGCTCCAGAAAGTAATCCACATCATCCTCTAATAACCATACCAGGGACTCTACCTGGTCGGCACTAAATGGGGGCAAAAATTCATCCCTGCATTCGGGGGTACCAGATGAAACCAACTCAGCACAAACCTGAATCAATGGCTGCACCTCAGAGAACTCTGTGCCCTGATCTACTAGGCAATGAGCGATCCGTATACATTCTAGCAGTTCATCCCTGGGATACTCCTTCAGAGTTTGATAAGCATATTCTCTGTCATCAAACACTAGCAGAGATAAATACACAACCTCATCAAGATCCATCCTTCCCAGCAACAAGCCAAGATGGCTTCCCTGTGCAGCCACTTCTGGTCAGGATTGGCCTTGGTGTAATGTCAGGGCTCCAGGGTATGACCAGAGGTATGTGAACTGACGGAGGGAAACGCAGGCTTCAGATAGTTATAAACAATACCACCATCTTTCACATAAATAACTGCCTCTAAACAGGCCTGAGGAAGAGAAAAATAGAGAGTAATAATGCTATGGGCTCTGGCTGTGTGACAGAACAGACACAATGGAGGCTGGAGGAAATGCCAAAAGCAGTAGACACATCTGGTAGATGTCACCCTAATATTAAAATGTTATGGAATAAAATACAGACCCCCAAATGTTTGAAAATGTCAGGAAATCTTTCACTAATGTTTGATACAGGCATTGCATTGTATGTTTCTTCTGTATGTTCCTGTTACAAGCCATTGTACTGCTGTAAACCTTCAATAAAAATGTATTGAACTAGAAAATCTGGGGAAATCTTTAACTTGCACATATAACATTTTGCAGCTTTTGCTGTCAAATATGTTTATTCTGTCTGAAACAGGTGGTGCAACAGGAACATGCACAGCAATACAAAGCTGACAGATTCTAGCTTTCTCCTCCTAAACCAAAAAAAAACACACACACAAAAAAGAAAGTAAAGGCAAAAAAATATTTCTGTTGTTTGAGATTTTCCTTCTTTCCCTAACTGTTGTCAGTATGACAGTAAGAGGTGTATTCATAAAAAAAATGCAGAGCTCTTTGTCCTGTGAAACTGACTGCACATTCATTCTGTGTAAATGGGGCAAAATCAATAGATACAGTGCCTTGAAAAAGTATTCATACCCCTTGAAATTTTCAACATCTTGTCATGTTACAACCAAAAATGTAAATATATTTTATTGGGATTTTATCTGATAGCCCAACACAAAGTGACACATAATTGTGAAGTGGAAGGAAAATGATAAATGGTTTTCAAAATTGTTTAAGGTGATTGTAGCCATATTAGTGCATTTGCGACAGAAACAATTGAGTACTGTCCGCTTTCGGGGTATATCCCCTTCTTCAAAGTCCAAGCTTGGACTTTGAAGAAGGGGACATACCCCGAAAGCTTGTCCTCAAAATTGTATGTTAGTGCAAATAAAAAAAGTATCATGGACAGTACTCAATTGTTTCTGTCAAAATTGTTTACAAATTAATATCTGAAAAGTGTGGCGTGTATTTGTATTCAGCCCCCCTTTACTCTGATATCCCTAACTAAAATCTAGTGGAACCAATTGCCTTCAGAAGTCACCTAATTAGTAAATAGAGTCCACCTGTGTGTAATGTGATCTCAGTATAAATACAGCTGTTCTGTGAAGCCCTCAGAGGTTTATTAGAGAACATTAGTGAACAAACAGCATCATGAAGGCCAAGGAACACACAAGACAGATCAGGGATAAAGTTGTGAAGAAGTGTAAATCAGGGTTAGGTTATAAAAAGAATCTCAAGCTTTGAACATCTCATGGAGCACTGTTCAATCCATCATCCAAAAATGGAAAGAGTATGGAACTGCAAACCTACCAAGACATGGCCGTCCACCTGAACTGACAGGCCGGGCAAGGAGAGCATTAATCAGAGAAGCAGCCAAGAGGACCATGGTAACTCTAGAGGAGCTGCAGAGATCCACAGCTCAGGTGAGAGAATCTGTCTACAAGACAACTATTAGTCGTGCACTCCACAAATCTGGCCTTTATGGAAGAGTGGCAAGAAGAGAGCCATTGTTGAAAGAAAGCCACAAGATGTCCTGTTTGCAGTTTGCGAGCAGCCATAATGTCAGGGCTCCAGGGTATGACCAGAGGTATGTGAACTGATGCAGGGAAACGCAGGCTTCAGATAGTTATAAACAATATAATTTATTAAAGACTAACAATACAAACATAAACGCAGTGCAATACTAAAACATAACACAGTGCAAACGAACCAAACCAAACCACCCACAGATAACTGTACATACAATGCAAGCGTCGTCAGGCAGGCCGGGTCAATAACAATCGGGCAGGTAGGTACAGGGGGTCAGGCAGAGAATGGTCGGGGTCACAAGCCAGGGATAAAACAGGAGAAGTCAGCAGAGGTCCGGATCAGGCAGGGTCAGCAACGAATCAGATAGAGACAGGAACAGGAACAGGATACAGGGCCCAGGAAAAAACACACACCAAGGCAGAGACTGCAGGTCTGGCCATCCCTTAAATACACCTGCATAATCAACTTCAGGTGTTTGGCTGGCTGCAGGGTTGAGTCTCTGATTGCTGGGAGCACCCGCTGGCCAGCCCTGGTACTGCAGCCCACAAGGCAGGTGAGTCCCACCATTACTGGCAAGTCCATTCCTGACACATATGGGGGACACAGCAAACATGTGGAAGAAGGACCTCTGGTCAGATGGAACCAACAGCAAAATGCTGTGTGTGGCAGAAAAAACTGCACATCGCCCTGAACACACCATCCCCACCGTGAAACATGGTGGTGGTAGCATCATGTTGTGGTGATGCTTTTCTTTAGCAGGGACAGGGAAACTAGTCAGAATTGATGTGAAGATGGATGGAGCCAAATAGAGGGCAATCTTAGAAAAAAACCTGTTAGAGTCTGCAAAAGACTTGAGACTGGGTTAGAGGTTCGCCTTCCAGCAGGACAACGACCCTAAACATACAGCCAGAGCTACAATGGGATGGTTTAGATCAAAGCATATTCATGTGTTAGAATGACCTGGTCAAAGTCCAGACCTAAATCCAATTGAGAATCTGTGGCAAGACTTGGAAATTGATGTTCACTGACGCTTTCCATCCAATCTGACAGAGCTTGAGCTATTTTACAAAGGAGAATGGGCAAAGCTGGTAGAAATATACCCAAAAAGACTTGCAGCTCTAATTGCAGAGAAAGTTGGTTCTGCAAAGTATTGACTCGGGGGCTGAATACAAATGCACACCACACTTTTCAGATATGTATTTGTAAAAAATGTTGAAAACCATTTATCATTTTCCTTCCACTTCACTTTTATGTGCCACTTTGTGTTGGTCTATCACATACAATCCCAATAAAATACATTTACGTTTTTGACTGTAACATGACAAAATGTGGAAAATTTCAAGGGGTATGAATACTATTTCAAGGCACTGTATTAGCTTTTTTTTCTCTCCAGGTTGAATGTTATTTATTCATAAAGAATAGAAAAATACTGCATTATAGCCACTGTATGGAGCCTATGATAAGAGCAAATAAATAATTCTTTACTATGATTGTCAACTCTATCTAGGGGCCATAATGCAGTATTTCTTTGATCCGCTCTATTCTTTTTCAATGACTAATACTTTACCTGGAGAGACAATAGTCTAGTAAGGTTTGCTTTTGTACCCATTCTCACAGAACAAATGGACATGCAGTTTTGAAGGAGCAGTAGGTCTGCAAAATTTTTATAAATAAACTCCTACTTAGAAGAGGAAACATCCTTACCGGAGTCCTGGATAGCAATAAAAGCTATTGGGTTCCAATCTTTCCCAACTCTAACCAAAACTAAAAACATTTTTTGTTGGACATACACTTTAGGTAAATAGTAAACTTTACCCAGCTAGCAGAGTTCTTAAAATAGTTCCGAGAGGGTGTATTTGCCAACATATTGCCTCTGAGCCAGCCAGTGAAAAACACCGGTCACACATAATACAATTTAGAGGCCAAAATACAGCTGTGCTGTACAATTATACTGTAAATTACCCTGAATTTATTTAGAAGGTGAGTGTTACAAGTAGCTAAAATATAAAATATGAAGTTGAAAATATAGTAATAATATAATACTAATACTGTAGGTGAGTACTGAAATCAGAAAATGAAACGTAATCAATAGAGAATGTAATACAGAACTAATCTTAGGCCATGTTAGGTTTTCTTTTGGTAAACCGGAATATGAAAACTAAAATCTATCCAGTGTTTCTCTTTTGCTAACTGGGTGCCTACTGACCTCTAGTGGTCCATTGTTGATTCAATTTTAGAATGTTAAAGTAAAATGTCACTCTCTCAATCAACATGGATTATTTGTAATCCTGATGCTGCTAGCATTAGTAAATAGATAGGAATGTATATCATATTTACTTGTTTTAAACTTTTTTTTTACATTTCTTTCATTCAGTTAATTCCTGTTCTTCATGCCTAAAGAAATTATGTCATACATCCCAGGGGTCTTCAGGACGGGAGAGAGGGTTCTCAGCTCAGCCATTGCCTGAGCTAGGGT